TGTCTGTCTGTGTCTGTCTGTGTGTGTGTGTGTGTGTGTGTGTGTTAAGGATCAGTGTTTTATCATCAGTCTGTGTCTGTCTGTGAGTGTGTGTGTAAGGATCAGTGTTTTATCATCAGTGTGTGTCTGTCTGTGAGTGTGTGTGTGTTAAGGATCAGTGTTTTATCATCAGTGTGTCTGTGTCTGTGTCTGTGAGTGTGTGTGTGTGTTGAGGATCAGTGTTTTATCATCAGTGTGTGTGTTTCTGTGTCTGTGTGTGTGTGTGTTAAGGATCAGTGTTTTATCATCAGTGTGTGTGTGTCTGTGTCTGTCTGTGTGTGTGTGTGTTAAGGATCAGTGTTTTATCATCAGTGTGTGTGTGTCTGTGTCTGTCTGTGTGTGTGTGTGTTAAGGATCAGTGTTTTATCATCAGTGTGTGTGTGTCTGTGTCTGTCTGTGTGTGTGTGTGTTAAGGATCAGTGTTTTATCATCAGTGTGTCTGTGTCTGTGTCTGTGAGTGTGTGTGTGTGTGTGTGGTGAGGATCAGTGTTTTATCATCAGTGTGTCTGTGTCTGTGTCTGTGAGTGTGTGTGTGTGTGTGTGGTGAGGATCAGTGTTTTATCATCAGTGTGTCTGTGTCTGTGTCTGTGAGTGTGTGTGTGTGTGTGTGGTGAGGATCAGTGTTTTATCATCAGTGTGTGTCTGTGAGTGTGTGTGTGTGTGTGTGGTGAGGATCAGTGTTTTATCATCAGTGTGTGTCTGTGAGTGTGTGTGTGTGTGTGTGTTAAGGATCAGTGTTTTATCATCAGTGTGTGTGTTGTACAGGAGTGAAGCTGTGTGACGCCTATAACACCGTCCTGGAGTTTGTCAAGAAAGAGAAACCAGATCTGGTCAGCAAACTGACAAAAAACCTCGGGTTTGTGTCTGAAACGCTTCGCACTCAGATAATCAATGTGAAGTGTGTAAAATGAGCCGTGTGTGACATACGTGTGTGTGTGTGTGCGTGCGCTGCAGGTTCGCTATGGGCATTGAGTTCAGAGAAGGATCGCTCGTACTGAATGCCAAAAATCAGTTCAAACTCAAGAGAGGTGAGTGTGTCAATATAAACCAGGGGCTGTTGTACACTATTTAGCATTACTGCATTAAAATATTAACAAAAATATTTTGCTCCTGTATTTAAATTGTATTCATTTACCTTAAAATGAAGATTCATGATACTGTTTGAAAAGTATATGAATATAATATCAAAACCCTTCACTCTGAAACATGCAATGTGTGTATATTTAATTCAGTCGCAGCCTTTGCGTGGTTAATAATCGCACTGAACCGTATCGTATAGTGTTCGTAACGGCTTGTGTGTTTGTGTAGGGATGGTGTTCAGCATCAGCCTGGGATTGGCTGACATGATCAACAAAGAGGGGAAGAAAGACGAGCAGAAAAAGTACGCCCTGTTCATCGGAGACACCATACAGATCAATGAGGTGCGTAACGGCTGGAAGCGGCCCGCTGTGAGTCCGTCTCTGTGAAACGCTGTTCAGTAATCCTGTGCTCGTGTTCGTGATCGCAGGAGGATCAAGCCACCGTCCTCACGCCCGTCAAGAAGAAGATCAAAAACGTTGGCATTTTCCTGAAGGTAACATCAGTCCGTCTCATGCCTGTTCAAAATCACACTGAAAATAAATGTACATTAAACACAAAATACATTAGATTTAATGCGTTTCAATACATATAATAATTTAATGCAAATTTTGGGATATTGCATTAAAAAAATGCTGGATGAAGAGATGTGCGTAATATTTTAATGTGCATTAAAATATATATATATATTAGACATTTAAAAAAAACAACTATTAATTGTTACTTGAAATAAAATAAATGTTAACGGAGATAAAATATATATTTTTTTTAATTTCAGATAGATAACAAATAATGTTCATTTCGTTTAACTAAAACTGAAATAAACTTTAATAAAAACCTATATTGACAGTTTTAAAAAATAACTAAGAAAATGTAGCAAAAACAAAAAATTATATGGATTAAAAAAAAAAAAAAAAAAAACGGCTAATAAAAATGACAAAAAATAACAAATACATTAAAAAATGTTAAAATAAAATGAAAATAATAATTCAAAATATAAAAAAAAAGATTTGCGTTCAGTGATGTTATTGTAGTATTAATATGCAGAAAAAAAGATTTGCAGTCTTCCCCAGTTGCAGAATTTTTTTTTTTGTTCTCTTGACCAAATGCAGCGTAAACAGTAATTAATTAGCTTTTATTTTACATGATATTCCGATTTTTCCCAACTTTAGATGAAAGTAAGTCTGTAGAGGTCTCGAAACAAGATGCGAGAAACTTGGCTGCTAAACCGTTTTTCTGTGTGTTTCTAGAACGCTGATGAAGAGGACGATGAGGAAGAGGACGATAACGCCGAGGAGCTGCTGGGGAAAGGAGCTCGCGGCGCCGCCCTGCTCACAGACAGAACCAGGGTACCTGCATCCTTCCTGTTCTCTAATCGCCATAATGCACCCGTTTCATTCGTGCGTTCTCATGCGCTCTCATCCGATTGGTCAGAATGAGATGACTGCTGAGGAGAAGAGGCGGGCCCATCAGAGAGAGCTGGCCAATCAGGTGAACGAGGAGGCCAAGCGGCGTCTGACGGAGCAGAAGGGAGGACAGCAGATACAGAAGTACGAGGATGAGCGCGTTTGCGCCTCACTCAGCTCAAGCGGTCGCGCTAGTTTGACGTAAACGCTCTCTTCTAACGTTTCCCCCTCAGAGCCAGAAAGTCGAACGTGTCGTATAAGAACGTCTCCCAGATGCCCCGCGAGAAGGACATCAGAGACATGAAGATCTTCATCGATAAGAAGTACGAGACGGTCGTCATGCCCGTGTTCGGCATCGCCACGCCGTTCCACATCGCCACCATCAAGGTAAAGGCATCGCGCCGCTCTTACGCGGAGCGCGCTTCCTCGTCTCGCTCTTGAGTCTCTGTCGTGTGTTTGCAGAACATCAGCATGTCTGTGGAAGGAGATTACACGTATCTGAGGATAAACTTCTTCGTTCCGGGCAGCTCGCTGGGACGCCACGACGGGAACATCTTCCCCAACCCCGAGGCCACGTTTGTCAAAGAGATGTAAGCCTTCAAATCCATCACTGGGCTTCACAAACCAGCTTTGACGCATGCACTTATGTATGTATATATGTATATATGTATGTATATATATATTACATTTAAATATAAAAAAAAAAAGTAATATAAAAAAATAACTTGAAAATATATTTTTGATCTGTTTAAAAATATATAGACGTATTAAAAAAATAGCGATTTCTCATTTTTAATCAATACTGATATGTATTATTTTTTAACAATTATATTAATTTTTTATATTTTTACAACAAATTATAGAAACATAATACTGTTATTAAAAAGTTGACATGAAAACAATTTAAATGATTTTTGCAACTCAGTTGTGATTCTGTGGAAGGAGATTACACGTATCCGAGGATAAACTTCTTCGTTCCGGGCAGCTCGCTGGGACGCCACGACGGGAACATCTTCCCCAACCCCGAGGCCACGTTTGTCAAAGAGATGTAAGCCTTCAAATCCATCACTGGGCTTCACAAACCAGCTTTGACGCATGCACTTCACACACTTTCTTTGATTAGCGTGTCATAAATAAACCGCAGAATAGGCCACTGCAGACTAGGAGACTAATATCTCTAAAGCATGTTTTTAATGTACGTTTTGTTGGATGTTGCATTAAACATTGCTGGATTAAAATGCAGAGATCTGCAATAAATCTTAATGTGCTTTAAAAAAAAAAAAGTGTTCAATTAAAGCAGATGCTTTTTTTTAAATTCAATTTTTATTTGGTGGTTATAGTTCTA